ACTCGAGTTCTAACGAGTCTGAATTCAATTTTGTGTACCTTTTCTTGGCTTACTGTTTAGTTTATACAGGTCTGGTGAAACGGTTTCAAATTGAAATATCAGGTCAGGGCCATAGCCAGAAAAGAACTATGACTCAAGAAATGTCCACGAAACAATTATGACTGAGGCAATGTTTATCGTTAAATTCTCTTTCTAGGTATTATGGGGGCTTATGATGACTTAAAACAACAAATTAAAAACAGAAATAAAATGAATGAAGTAATTATAAGTTCCTCGGTTTACCTGTTACTAGTTACGGCCCTGCAGGTAGAAAGGTCACTAGCTAACTGGCAAGAGCTAGCTAACAGCTACCTGGCATTAAGACTTAAAAGTGCTAGGAAAATGTAGTAAAGACTACGTATAAGAACTACAGTCAGAGCCAATTATTCCATGTTGTTCCATTTTTTCGTCTCTTGTCCAAAATGAACAAGAGTGGGGGCAAGAACTATCACTTGAGATAACACTTAGTAGAACTTAATTATTTTAAATATCATAAAAACCGAATTCTTATACTGTTTTGGGTGAACCAACTTTCTCCCTAAATGAAGGTTCTATTTGTCGCTTAAGCATAATTACCCCTTTCCTATAATTCTTTTGATCATTTTTGTTTTCAGATATTATTCGTTTAATACCTTCTGTGGTTATACTCGCGTGGATTTTTTTCGTATTTTCCGCGTCAACATTTGCCAACGTTAACCATATTCTCAGTATACCGTAGTCGAAAACGCAGAGATCGAAAGTGATAAAATCTCGTTGCTGTGCGACCTCGACAGGTAAAAAAAAAAATGAGAACGAAAAACAAAATGCTCTGTGGCAGACCTCGACATATGACAAAATATCCAAAATCATCTCCAGCTCACAAATTGGAGATTGAGACTTCAATGTATAACAAGTTTTGTCATTCAGACCTTCTCTTTCAATTCACCACCACTAACCTGTTAGACAGCTTGTTAATGGTTCTGCATTCAACACTGCTGCGTTTGGACATTGAATACATGAGGAAGACGACGTTTGACCGTCGAAAGGCTGGTATGTCCCATATCGACATGGAAGGGAGAGATCGGTGTTCCCATTTAGACAGTAGTACCCAGGTTTGCATAAGTCTGAAAAAAGATATTGAAATTATTGTATGGGAAGGTAGTACTGAGATAAATTCCAGCGTTCAACGTGCTTGGTTCTCTCTAGATGGGGATTTTGCCATGCGAACCAATTCCATGGAAACGGCAACGGTCGGCCGTGTATTGTCTCCTTTTTGAGTGACATTTAATAAACCAATTACTAACGTAGCTTACTCTAGCCATAAGTATTGGGAAATATTGGGCGCAATCGGTCGTTTTTGTACGGCCCTGGTGCTTAGATTTTATCATACTATCTACGGCTTAGTTTTCTTTGAGTGTAAAGTAACGAGGTAGTAGAAACTCTGAAGGATGGAGTTCCAGAAATAAAATTTCTTAAACAACAAGCTTGGTACATATATCTACTAAAAAGAGCTTTTCACATCTTTAGATCGAATATACATGTAAACATAACGCTTTTCGGATAAAACTCAAGCTTAATATTTGCACTGGAACACACTAGTAAAGATCGAAGTTAGAGATTTTATGTCCTGTTGTCATTTTAAGTGTTCAGCATTTAATTTTGAAGTTTTTTCTTGTGTCTTTCTTAGGCCTTAATCAATATATGTTTTTAAGAAATCTTCTAGTATAAGTCACAGAAACGCACGACCTTCAGCTTCTCAATAGACCTCTTTTCTAATCAGCATAAAACAAAACTACGGTTTAGGAATGCTTATACAATGCCTCTATGCCCTATTTTAGAACGATAACCGACAAAGTGCCATGAGCGCGCTAAAATGAGTTGGGGACATAAGAAAAATTTTAAAAATTTTCTACAGTTGTTCGTCTAAGACCTTATTGATCAATACCTGGTGGTTTTCCTTCGTTTGAGCGATTTCCAGAGGAACAGAAGACTTGGCAGCTTATTCGCGCTCCAGAGTTTCTCCTCCGAAAATCTTCACACACTTTGGAAGTTTGACGTTTATGGCACACTCTCTTTGACGCACAACCTTTGAGGTAATTTGCTTTACTTGAACCAGATACTGGATCATAGGCTTGAATGAGGAATTGAGCACATTGTTCCTCATCCGAAAGACAGTCTTCAACAACTTGACTGTCATTGCAATGGTCCCAGCTTGAACTGGAGACACACTTGTAGCACCTCATAATAGCGGCATTGGCTGTAGGCCAAATAATACGACATAAGTACAAGATCCATGAGAGTGTTGCCTTGCTTTGAAAAGCGACGTATATTTTATTTAAATGTTTCATATTAAACAATTACATTGTGAGGTCGAGATTTCTATCGCGTGATAGTTGACGAGGGCACAGGGCATATAGAAATCGAGAGCGAATAATCTAATTGTTTTAGTATAAATTCACTAGACGTTCAAAACTTTCACAGACACTTCGGAAACGCCAAGAAGGGTTTTGTTATCAAGGGCACACTGCTACGCTACTCACTATCTATCGAAGAATAAATAGTTAGTAGCGTACGTAGCCAATCAGAGAAGAGCATTCGTGATAAAACGCTAGTAGATTTATACTAAAAGTTAACGTAATCATTCAGGACAACCAAAACAGGCAAACAAAACAAAAATAACAACAACAGCGGGCACAACAACAACATTGGGAAAAAAGAAAACAATTGAACACAACCGAGAGATACATAGCAATGGTAATGATAATGATAACGATAACGGTAACGGTAATGGTAATGGTAATGGTAATGGTAATGGTAACGGTAATGGTAATGGTAATGGTAATGGTAATGGTAATG